GCACGGGATCCTGCCTCATTTTGCACCTCACTCCCTGTGGGCAGCAGTGAGGGGACACGCAACCCAAGGGAACAGACCTCCCCCACCGCAAGAGCCCCAGCCCGACGCCGCTCCATGAACACTGGGGTGCCCCCTGATCTTGCGCGGAGACTGGGGCCCCAGTGACTGTGCCACCAGCACCCCCATTAAAATCAGGATTGCTGCAGTGGTGGAGTCCAAGTGTGAGTTCCGCCACCTTCTCTTGATCTTGCAGACCCTGCCCACGGCTGAATCAGAGTGTCCCCATTCCCAGGCACAAGCAGGGCACAGGGCCTCACTCTTTCGGGTTGACCCCTATTAAAACTGCCTGGTTTTTCACCTAAAAGTTATTTATTTCACCATTTTAGAAGGATAAGGATTGCAGCTGAAGAAGGATGCCTCTTGCCCATGTGACACCCCCCTCCACCGCCAACCCCGGATTTACAGGAGACCCTAAAATGAATGCTGTTGGCCCTCCTTCCCACGCTTCCATCACAGGCAATTTTCTTTTCCTTGTTGATGTTTCCAAAACAGTTTATCTTTTTATCTCCTCGGAAGAAAAGTACTCTGCAAATCAAAGGTATCATTAGTATTGTTATTATTTTGCTATTGAAATCTCTTGAATTCACTTTGGATTATTCATGTGCTTTTTTGGGTCTGCAATATAATGCCTTCTAGGTCACCCCCACTGGGCTGAACAAAAAAGAAAAATTGCATCTTCAGGCCTAATCCCCTGCTCCACCCCGTCTCCTGCTGGCCCTGGCTCCTACCAACACAAGCACACCAGGGAGAGCTGCTCCTTGGTACCATGCCTACCTCCCTGCTGCCATGTTCCAAGGGAGATCCTCCTTTGTAACCCAGGGGGGGAGGGAGGCCCCCCGCGGTACCCTGTAAGTGCAGGCGTTGACCCCACCCCGCACCCCTCTCCCCCTGGGGAGTTTCTCTTCCCTCCTCAATAGGTCTGGCTGGCAACAGAGAGCTCCCTGCTGGGTAGCAGACGCTGAGATCACCCCCATGCCCAACAGACGTGTCCCAGTTCCCCTCACCCAGAAGATTTGTTAAAGAAGTGGTCCCACACCCTAGGCAGGTATCTTCTGGTGCCCCTCTCCCTCCCCCAGGGAGCTTCTCACAAGTTAAGGCCTCTAGAAGTTGCTCCTTTCTCTCCAAGCTTCCTGTCATCCCCCTGGCTTCCCTCATCCTAGCTGGGTCTCTTCACTCACAAGACAAGCCCCGTGTCTGCTTCCAGCTCTTCTCTCCCCTTGGAAAGTCATGTCGCCACCAACCTCTGTCCCTCGGGTAGCCATCGGACAGCCCTTTGGGAGACTCCTGCCAGCAGGACAGGAGAGCAAGTCACTTACATTCTTCCCAAGGGAGAGGTGACGTCCCGGATGAACCCTCAACTCAGGGACTGTCATTGACAAGTAAGTTCTCATTGTCCCCCCAACACGTTCAGAGCAGCCTGGCACGCGGGAAAGTCCAACGAGAGATCTGGGTTGGCCAGAGTTAGAGCTTTCGGGCCCTGCAAGGTTATGAGCCAGACGGGACAGTCTGGGAGTGCTAGGGGAAAATGTCAGTGAGCAGGGAAGAGAACATCTTTCCAAAGAGCATCTGAGTTCAAGGCACCAACTTTGTATCACTGCGCATTCCCCAGACTGTCTCAGCTGGGCAGCAGGGATCTCCCATCCTGCTGGCACACTGGTCCTTCCTAGCTACTTAAGACGGGGGAGTGGGTGCAAGCTGGTTGGCACGGCCCTTGAAGATGAAGGAGGGCACAGAGGGAAATAGTTGTGGGCAAACGGAAATGATAAAGGGAAAAAAATATCACCAGTTCTAAGTTTAGGGATGACAAGAGAATCGATTCCTCTTCACCCAGGGGCAGAACATGCCTCTTCTTTGCAGGAGGCAAATTGTGCTGTGACATTATCCCTCTCTGCACAAAGCATGGACAAGCGGTCCTGACAGCTGATGGAAGAGGCATCCCCAGCAAGAGAGAAACCCACAAGCCGCACACACTGGCAGCTCACCATTTCTTTGTGGGGAGCCAGGCCCGGGGACGTTGGCAGGGGCGGAAATGGAGGCATGCCATTTGGTCTTTCTACTGCCACCTTAGGAAAGATAAATAAATATTTAATCTCCAGCTCCACGAAAAGCCCAAACTTTCAAAGGAGAGGGGATACAGCGTATTGCTGACATTGATTATACTTGGAATTCACTCTCTAAAGGGTTACGAGAACAAGTAAAAGTGAATAAATATCAGACAAATTGGGAGAGAAAAGACAACTGAAAGGGACTTTAAGGGTTTTGACTTAAATGTTTTTGCCACGGAAGTCTTCACAGAGCTGTTTGGAGCTCTCCCTCCGTAGGGGGACTAAGACAATGGGAACAGGAAGCATGAGAATTGTGTTTCCAGAAACTCTAAAATGACACATAGGCTCCCACTGGGCAGCAGATGGAGGTGTCACCGGAGTGCCAGATAAAGGCCTAAAAAGAACCCTGGACATTTGTTTTCTCCGAGAGGAGAGGCATCCCTGAGTCCCTGCACATTTCCTTGGAAAGCATCCCAGGAGGAAGCATGTGCGCGAGGTTGGAGCCGGGGGGGGGGGGGGGGGTTGTCAAATGGGTGACTCGTTGGGGCATGCCAGGCAACTTCAGTCAGGGGGATGTCTGCTAGTCCTCTCACGACCTCTCGGAAGTGGATGCACTCTAACTAATAACTTGAGAAATGTATGGTGCTAGGTAGAGGTAGGCACAGTATAGGAACTGATCATATAGGTGTAGGGTCAAAGAGAATCCCCTGGGGAATTCACCATACTCAGGACAACAACCACATTAAAACACATGTCTACGGATCAAGTCAAAAGGTAGCATATCACTAAAGTCCATAAAAAGCATCCCACTTGGCCCTTAATTCCTGTCATCAGATGCTGTCTACTCACAAAACCTACAGTGTCCAGTGATGCAGGGTATTTTGACTGGCTGCATCCACTTTGTCTCATCATCTTTCTTTAGACCTATTTTGGAACCCCGTGGGCCCTGACGTCTACCATTGGGTAGGGTGGGCAGTGCTGGCTAAGCTCGGAACACTCAGGAATCACAAGGAAGTAGGCATTGCAGGATGCTGTGGTTTCTTCTTAGTGCTCTCAGGGCTAAGGGTGGATGAAACGGAGCGTTTAACCTCCATAGGTAAATATTTAAAGATTCATATGAGACAGCGAGGAAACAGCTCTGGTACTGAGAAAGGGATAAGCAAAGCAGAAGATGCATACTGTGATGATTCAGACAGCCAAAGAAGCACTCAGACACCAAGGGCTTCTTATGCCAATCTAGAGGAGAATCACACCTCCAGCTTTCCAACAACACACGGGCGGATTAAAATGTGCGCGGGTCCCATGAACATTTGTGGAGGGGGGATGGTGGGCTCCTCCTTATAGGGATTCTATAGGCAACTTCCTGAGTAAATTGGGAAGAGGCAAAGGAGCATGGGAGTGTGAGTGTGAGTGAGTTTGTGTGTGTGTGTGTGTGTCCATAAGCAAGCACACAGGCATCCAAGAAGGAGGGTAATCTCACAAAATGGTAATATAACCCAAACTGTTTCTGTACCAGTGTTCTGAGATAGTTCTTAGTCATTCAGCCTGAAAACTCTAGGGAAGGCAATTTATCTTCCTGCTGCTGTAGGGAGCCCTGGTGAGATGCACACTACCATATGAATACATGAGTGTGTGTGTGTGTGTACACATTGTAATTACATACAGGCGTGGGCGCGTGCACACTGTTACAGGGGAAAGGCCCCCCGGGTTTAATCAGGGTGGCCATGAGCAAAGTTTGGTAAGGGGGAAATCTGCAGTGACCGTAAGTACCAATGGAAGAGCAGAGGAAGGAGGCGTGGGGTTTTTGCTTACATTTGGCTTCTCCTTGACAGGGAAAGAAAGAGAGACATGCTGTTTGCTTGCAAAGCCAGCCACCCATGGCGGTGCTCTGCTTTCTTGAAAACTTTTACCCTTCATTTAATCAACAGATGGACAAGCTCTGTCGTGGATATTTCTGAGAGTCCTGTCCCTCTCGGAGCCGTGCTGGCTGGCACAAATGCTGCCTCAGATGGCAGAGAGCTGCTTTACTTCTCCCCTTCGAGCTCAATTCCACAGGTGACTTTTGATGCCTTTGGCTAAGTAGGCACTCACCGTCCCTCCCCAGATCGCCCTCCCCTCCCTCCACCATGCCAGCCCCCACCCCCGCCCCCTTTCGGGCTCCCTCCGGCGGGAGCCAGCCCAGAGGTAGCAAAATTCTTTCGGGGAGAAGTCCACCAGCCTCTCTGCCCCTGCTAGGCTGCACAAAGTAAACAATCAGCACCAGGGGTGACATTTCACTTTAGACCCTGAATCCGGGGCTGTGTAGGATTCACAATTCAGCCGTATTCAGAGAACCCGATTCCATTCAATGAAACTCTTGACAAGCTTCCTCCCAACCACCGCAAATTACCCCCACGGTACATTCTGTAATTGCGGCCCCTTCTGCAACCGAGCAAAACCGGCACCCACTGGCTTCTGAATCCACTCCTGCAAGTCAGACCTTATTGGAGCTGAAATATCCACCTCAACACAGCTCTCCTCCCCACCCTCTCCTTCTCCCAACCTGAGTCTGAAGGAGAGGAGGTGCCCAGAAGTTCAGCGCGGCATAGCCACACAGATACTGCCTCATTAACATCCCGGGAGCATAAAGAACTCATTTGCATCGGAGAGTTTGAGCTGGATGTTGACAAGTGAGAGGAGAAAGTCACCCCTCCCACACCCCTTCCTTCCAAAGGAAAAGAAACCGTACCATCTTGTTCCATTGGCAAAGGCAAAGAAGCCACGCCAGAGCATCTCGGACGCATCGATCGGCTCGAGGTTCCGAGGCCGGCCCACGCTCCTGCCCCCAGCCTCCCGCGCCCCGCCAACCCAGCCGACTTTCTTTGCAACTCCGGCCGCCCGCGCGGGGGGTCCTACCTTGACTGAAAAGGAAGAAGCACACGAAGAGCAGATCGAGCTGGAAAGGTTTCATTCCTCAGCGCAGCGAGGGAAAGCCGGCGGGGCAACTTGGGGTGGCAGTTAGTTTCTCCTCCCGGGCGGCTCGCCGAGCTCAGCCCCCGCCGCGGTCCTCCCGGGTTCGCGCCAACCATCGGGCTGTCCGTGCGTCCGTCCCTCGGCGCGGCGCCGCTCTCCTCGGGGCCTCCGGGTCTCCGCAGCCTGCCGGGGCCAGTGGCCGGGCTCCTAGCCGCCGCGGGAAGCCGGGCTCGTCAGCGACGTCCCCGCTCGGAGCAGATCCATTCCGTGGCTCTCGGCAGCCCGGGCGCGCGGCTTGGCTTCCTCCGGCGGCGGGCTCCTCCCACAGCGAGCTCGCGAGCGGGCGGGCGCGGGAGCCAGTGACGAGTGACAGAAGGGCTCCTTTCACTGAAGCTGGGGCGGGGGTGCGAGGGAGGGGGAACAGGTCGTAATTAAAGAGGAAACACTTGGAAAAAGGAGATCTGTGCAAAGCGGAGGGCGGACGGGGAGGCTCTGCTCTCTCTTCCCTTCTCCTTCCCCCCCCAAACAGGGCGAAATGCAGCTTTTGTCACCATTACTGGCCAAAAGGCATCTTGAACAGGGAGCCGACTGTGACTTTTTGTCCACACCACATAATGTTGTTCAACGGGAGTGAAGTTGAGGGGGACTATATGCGGGCACACGCATTAAAATATGCGTGCCCTGCCTTTGCACGGGGGATTGGGAACTGGCTGAAAGGGAAACAGCGAAGCAGCGAGGGGTGGGGGTGGGGGGGTGCATCTTTCCCCGGGAAGGACTTGGCCAATGTGTGCAGCGGGAGTCTCAGAGTTGGGGATAGAGATAAGCACGTTTTACATTTTTTGGAGACTTTCCTAGAAGGGGGAGGTAGGTCATAAAAACCCGAACGTTTAGACCTTAGTTTGCTTTGCACTAGTCCTCCAAAACAAAATGAAGGAACTAGAGGGAAATCAAGCAGGTCTGTGACACATGCCCATTTATTATTATTACCATCCTGGTTTGTGCATTTCCCAACAAGGAGAGGGGAGTAGCCTGTTTTTGCATTTGCAGCCTCTCCTCTAATAAGCGCTCCATCACTCTCAGAGTGTCTTTTTCTCCAAGAGGTGTTGTGAATCGTATTGCGAAGGAGAGGCCAAGGTCATAGGAAACTGCCTGGGAAGAACCTTCAGGTCTTTTACCTGTTGTGAAGCCCACACTCGAATCAAGCTCTGTTTTCCTCCAGGATAACAAACAATTTCTCTAGGTCTGTTTCCTTGGTGGACATTTAGATATACCTGGGATAAGCAGGCACTGGGGGAGCTAAAATCCCAGGCACAGACCATGCCTTCTGGAACTCACAGTTTATTGTGGAAGCAGAGTATACACGAGAGATGCAAACTATAAGGATAGTTACAACTGAGTATAATATGCAGCATTGTACAGAAGAAGGGGGGCTAAAGAGTAGGGGGAGAAAGCTGGAAGATGCTCTCTTTATGAGTGCCTTTCAGTACAAAATCATTCATTGCTTTTTTCAGTCACTGGACCTTGGGGAGGTCTTTGGGAAACTCTTAGCCTTCTTTCCATCAGTATTACGTACTTGGGGGATTTTACTGACTTCAAGGCACATTCCAACGCCAAGTTTCCATGTGGATGTTAACTTTAAAAACGTATCCCTTGGTACTGATGAACAAGAAAAGAGAAGTAGGGCCCCATGAGAAAAGTGTGTGCTGGTAGGGGCTTACTTGTATCTGGTAGTTGACATCAAAGATCTACAAATTAGTAGGTGTCTGCTTTGTTGACTTTTCTGTTCTTAACTTAATAGTTTATTTAACTGCATCCCTTAGAGGCTGTTAAACAGATCAAAGGGAAATTTGTAAGCAAGCTTTGGGGGAGAAAAGAAATGCTGAGCGACAGAAACCAAGAGGACCCAAAAGAGACACACCATCAGCTAAATTAGCAAACAAGGTACAGAAGCAAAGTGTCAACACAGCCTCAGCCCCGCTGACTCGATGACAGAGAAGACAGTGAAACAGAAGAGGCAAATCAGAAACACATACGCAAGATGAATGATGGTTCTAAACAATCTATGTCAGACAACATGGTAAGAGTGAGAACATGGCATGTAGAGTGCTTGAACTTTAGTAGGAGCTCTCATTAAACCTACTGGGTGAGGGGAGAAATTTAAGGTCTGGGCACCATTCTTAAGGCAAGCCTTGCAGTGAATAAGACTAACAATATGAGAATGTACACCCTACCTCACAAAGCAACACTGGATGTTTTAACTAACATTTATCCTTTAAGCTGCTGTTTGATTTTGACTGCTAATTCCTAGGGGGCCTGGGGCCCAGATTTGCTTAATTCAGCCCCCAGGGAAATATTACAAAACCAGGGTCATGAAGCTAGTGAACTGTGCAATACACGCAAATCAGGCCCACGTACAGGCGTGTGCGCACCACACACACACACACACACACACACACACACTCGGTCTTGGACAGGAGAGGGATGGTGGGAATCCGAGGTTGGAAGGACCTTGTTTCGCTCTCCCACTGGTCCCTGAGACCGGCCTCACGACCCTCAGACTGGCTCTGATCCCCCAAGCCAGCTGGGCCTGTTCCCTTCTCCCCCCCTCCCCCTTCCGCCCCCTCCCCGCAGCCTCCGGTCTCCGGCAGAAAGGAAAAAAAGCTTGGATTAAGTGGTGAGCTGCCTGCCTCTAAAAGGACCGGGAGGCGTTTCAAGCCTGAGTGCCGGAAAACCCACGGCAATCTTCGGCAGCCACCACGTGGGGCGGCGAGAACGACAGCGGTACCTGCAGGACCCACAGCCGGCCGGGCTCTGGCGCCAGCCCCGACGGCGGCCCGGCCATCTCCGCCCCGCCGCTCCTTGGCCTCACCTCCTCCGGGGGCTCGGTTAGCCTCCTGGCGCTGCAAGGTGCCTGCGCGCAGTTCGCGGGCGAGGCGGGGGGTGGGAGGCGCGGACGGCTCCACCTGATGGAGAAGAGTGGAGAGTCTTAGACCTCGGAGCGCGCGGCGAGGCGAGGCGAGGGGAGGGGAGGGGAGGCGAGGCGAGGCGAGGCGAGGCGAGGCGAGGCGAGGCGAGGCGAGGGGAGGCGAGGGGAGGCGAGGCGAGGCGAGGCGAGGAGAGGAGAAGGGGGGGAGGGGAGAGAAGGATGGGGAGGGGAAAGGAGCGGCGGGGAGGAGGAAGACCGCCCCCCCCAGTAGGAGCCTGCGCGTCCCGAACGCGGGACGCGAGGCACCGGAGCTTGAGGCACGGTCCCGTGGAGGTGACAGCCCTAAAGAGACAGCAGAAAACCAGGCACTTGGAAAGCTGCCCGAATTCTGGTTCTCTGCACATCCAGGCTCCAGGTCTCTGCTGCGCCCATCGCGCAAGCCGGGGTCCCTCACCGGCAGGTGGCATCCTCTCCAGCGTTTCTTCTCCCGGACCGTAACCGGGGCGGCCAAGTTCATCGGTCCCCAGCAGCCCCCCCGCCTCCCCCCGCCGCCCGGGCCTTCAGTGCCCAGTCCTGTGTCCTTTGAACCACCCCGCTCTGGCGGGCGAGAGCTACGCGGAGGCCCGGAGCCCGCAGAGTGTGAGGGCTGGCTCCAGATTCTGCTGCTCGCTGGCCAAGAAGCTTCGGAAGGGCCAAGTCTCCTCAGGGCTGCTTCCAAGCCCGCCCGGCAGCAAGCGTGCCCCCCAGAGTTTTCTGAGGTCTGGGACAAAGAGAGTGAGGCAGGAGGGGTCCAGATGCAGCAGTGGGGGGGGGGGAGGGGGCCCTGAGCGGCCCGAGTTCGTTACAGACCACGCAGACCCTAGCTCATCACTACTTTCCAGTGACATTTCCCTTGGCTGTTAGTTCTATGTCTGTAATATTTATTATTTCCTCCATTTGGGCAAAGGCCTGTGTGGGATACTTAAGAAAAGACGTGTGGAATGAATACACGAAGGTCTTCTAGTTGGGAAGAAGTTTGTCTTCTAACTGGGAAGAAGCAAACACAGGTGGAGACATGGAAACAAATTTATGAAACATCTCATTGGCTTTTTAATTACACAGAAATTGCCCTGGAGGTCATCTGTCAGGCTGGATCCTTTCTAGATGGGTCTGCCTAGGCTCACTTGCCGGAGGCCCTACAGGAAGCTGATGGGGGCTGAGATGCAGCCCAGAGCCCCAATCTTGGGGTCTTGTATTTGTATTGCCCTGCCCTCCTTACTCTCCCGCACTGCTCCTCGTGGCCTGGCGCCCTCTCTCTGTCTGCTTGTGTTCCTGAGGTGCTGTTAGCCTGAATAAAGAGAGGGAGAGGGAGAGGCTGTTTTATGAGACAGGCAGTCATCATGAGTGGAGAATTTCCTGTTTAATGCCTCTTCACAATATTTGTTGCACAAATACATTATAAACCACATTTCCTTTTGTTTTTCATATATCCTGCCAGTGCTGGCTAATACCTTCTTGTCCAGGGATTTAAACACATCTTGAACAGGCCTCTCCTGGGAGTTTAGGGTAATCCAGCTCTCCATCCTGGGTAAGTTAATAAGAGCTCAAAGCCGCATATACTTCCAGAGACCAAAAGGCCTTTAGGGGTCCTCCCTGGGTGGCACCCTGTCTGACTTGGACAGTGACAATCTTCTGGCCGATTTCTTTTTCATTTTCTGAGCCACATTTCTTTATCACAACTGTGGAGGTGGGTCATAAACCCTGATCCCTGTGGTCAGTCTCTCCATGGGAATGCAGAAGGGCCCAAAGGACCAGGTCTTCAGCTTTTGGAAGCATCCCCCAAAGGGCAGGATGAATCTGTCTCCCCTGATTCCCCTAAGATCAAGCCTGAGGGAGGGGATCATGGCACGTCTATGGACCGGGCTCTGTCTGGCCTGGACACACTGTAGCCACTTTATGAACCTGGGCATGTCTTTCTTCGTCTATGAAAATGACTGGTTTGAGACAGCGGCTCCCCAGGATCCCTCCCAGTCCTGAGATTCTGTTGCCTACTCTCCAGAGGCTACCCCTCTCAGACCGGAGAGATTTGGAGGCACTTGCACGGTGCTCCCAGTGTCAGGGCAAGTGATTGGGAGTGGCTGATCCCCACCCATGAGAAAACAGTGGCCGGTCTGGAATCCCCATAGACCCCTCTGCTCTCGTTGGTTCCGGCTTTCCCCCAAACTGTTCCGTGTTCCTCCTGCTCTTAACTGTCCTCAGTCTTTCTGCAACTTGCTTCACTGCTGCTCTCCCTCCTCTCCTTATTTTTCCCAGAACCATGCCCCACCATGCCTGGATTCTGGGTTCCAGAACAGCTTTTCTTCAACG